AAGCCAGAACTCATGTAAAGCAGAAGCCTGTCAGAGAAGAAGAATTCAAATACTTCCCACTGGCAGCAAGTGGTGAGACTGCACGCTGTCACAGGCACAAAGCCTACCGGTGGGAAACCACAAGGCAGCTGGAGCCACTGGGCTCTGGGTCACAGGCTTCACTGGACCTCAGCACACACCTATAGGGTCTGGCCCGGTTTCCTGCATGTGGAGTGCACGCAGCTGTCAGGCCACTCCCCGCGCCTCTTCACTTACGGAGACTCCACAAGTGAACACGCAGTGAGGAGGTAAAAGAGCCCCGCCCCGCTCAGTATGGGACGAGGAGGAAAGCACATGTGTGTGCATGGCAAGCACACAGTTAAGCTCAGAGAAAGCTAATTGAAGACATTTGTCAGTATGTGCCAAAAGCTCCTAAAAGGTACCATTCCATTTGCAGGAACTGTCGCTAAGAAAAGGGGGGAGGCAAACCCAGGAAGAGGCTGCTCGTGGCAACACTGCCCCCATGGGACCATCGGCAGACACGAGGCAGTTAGATCCAATCCTCCACGTGCGGGAGGGGCGTGTGCAGCCACAGAAAGACACGGGAGTGAACATGTCCTTTAGGAAATGGAAATGAGCATGTGATTTCACATTTAAAAAGGAGCCTGCTACTTGCTTAGAAAAAGAGATGTAATGATGTTAAAAAAAGAGTTGACTACTTAAAAATATTAAGTATTTATATTTTTTTTTGCTGAAAATGTAAAACATAAAATGCACATGTTCACAGCAACTTTCCCTGGATGACAAGACTACAGGTTACCCATCTCGCTGGACCTTTCTGTCACAAGATGTGCACACTATTACAAAGAGAAGATGTACAAACGAGATTACCTCCAACTTTTCTGCCAGGAGACCTTCAGTGCCCCCGGAGCGCAGTCTCATCTGCATTAGCTCGTTGATGGCTGACTGGTCCCCTGAGAGGGAAGGACAGGGAGGGAGGGGAAGAGAGAGAGAGATCTTTAAGGATCTGTTCTCTGAAGAACCACTAGATTCAACTGGCCCTTAAAGGAGCTCTGTCTGCTCTACAAACACGCTGAGACATGACCAGTGCTCCCTGAGGGCTGCGGGCTGCTCAAGGGGCGTGAGGCAGCCTGCAGGCAGGGACGGAAGCAGGCCAGGCTCTCCGGATGTCAAGCACCCTAAACGACAGTCTGTGTTTGTCATGAGAAACCCATGCCGGGGTGGCTGAGAAGGAAGGGGAAGAGAGTGAAATACAGCCTCCACGCTTGCCGAGACGGAGCTGGCAGTGCCAGGTGCCAATCCGCAAGGGAGGTGGGAGCCGGCCCTGCTCACCGATGTTGTAAGCACAGTAGCGGATGTTGGGCGAGATCTCCTCCACCCGCTGGTTATACAGCACCGCCTGCTCTTCGGTGAACGCACTGGCCAGTTTCTCGTAGATGGTCCTGTAAGGAAGGACACAGCAGGTTTCACAGAGGCCCCATTTTTAAAAAAAGCTAAAACCAAATGGCTTTTTGAAGCTTTTTTTTTTTTTTAAACCAATGATTGGAACTGATGTGTTATGGTTTGTCCCATGACACCATCATCACCAGCAAAAATGGGTCCTGAATCCTAACTCTCACCCCCTGTAGTTACAATCCCCTTTGGGAATGCTTTTCTTTGTTATATCAATGAAGCAGTATAAGCACGGAGTGTATCTTGAGAGCCAATCTCTTCTGAGATATAAGAGATTAACCAAGCAAGCGACCAAGCAGAGAGGGGGCAAGAGACAGTACATGAGAGATGCCACCCCATGTGGAGATCACAAAGAAGCCGAGGGACAAGGAACGTTTCACAGAGCCAACAGTGAGCGAGCCTTCTCCTAGAG